GGGGGAGCCCAGGGCCGGGACAGCAGGGGCTGCGGCTGCGGGCCGGGATCTGCAGCCTGCCTGAACAGCGGGACATTTGTTGCACGTGCCTCCATGTCCTGCCCTGGACAAACTGGTCCCTCGCGCCTGCTCCAGCCTCCCGGCCCGGCCCCGCGCAACTCCATGGAGCAACATCACCACCTGGTGGCCTGATCAGCGAATGGCAGGTGAAGGGGGTCACAGGGCTGCAAGCATCGACTCCATGACCATACTGCAGCCCAAGCAGGATCCAGGCTGCGCAGGGCCCATGGCCGGCCGGGTAGATGGGGGGCCTGGGCCCGTGGCTGTCTGGGTAGTTGGGGGCCCTGGGCCCATGGCCGGCCAGATAGGAGGGGGCCCTGCTACTCTAGAGTCCTTCCAGTCCTGCAGGACTCTGGGTGAGTTCTGGGGCTCTCTGCTGAGCCCTGAGGGATCCCAGCCCCTCCTGCAGCCCCCACCCCTAACCTCTCTCCCCCCTCCCCCCCGCAGGTGAGAAGCCTCACAAATGCCAGGTGTGCGGCAAAGCCTTCAGCCAGAGCTCCAACCTCATCACCCACAGCCGCAAGCACTCAGGGCACAAGCCCTTCGCCTGCTCCCTGTGCCCCAAGGGCTTCCAGCGCAAGGTGGACCTGCGGCGCCACCAGGAGACCCACGGGCTCTTCCACAGCCCTGGGGGCGGCCAGGTGCTGGGCGCCCTCCGCTAGGGGCCGGGCAGGTGGGGCCCGGGACACCCGGCCTGCAGGGGGAGCTGTGGAGGTCAGAGGAGAAACCCCAGAGTTGAGGGGGCTCCTGGATCATCCCCCAAGCTGCCATCGCGCCCCGTCCACCCTCACCTGGAAGTTGCTGCTGGGACCCGCAGCCACCATGTGACGGAGCCGGCAGCCGGCAGGAGGACTCAGCTGCCCGCCCTTCGTGGGCCCCTCTTGCCAGCCAGACCCTGGGTCCCCCCATGGTTGAAGGTGGGCACAGTGGGACAGTCAGGGGGCCTGTTTGGGGTGAGGGGGGAGCACCAGCCTGGTTGCCCTGGGGCTTCTCTGCATCTGGCTCCCTGCATGAGCATCTCCCCGGGGGGCTGGGCTGGGGCAGAGGGAGGGATGAGCTGTGGGCTGCACCCCCCGACCCAGATGCAGGGGAGAGATGTGAGCTGAGATCTGTCCTGTGCCCCAGTAAGCAGAGATGGCTCCTCAGCCCGTCGCTGTAACCCTCCCCTGGCTGCCGGCGGAGAATTAAAGGATGTGAGGGGAAAGCAGCCTGTGTCCCGGCCCCTGGCAGCAGCGACGCCGCGTACAATAACACACGGGCAGCGCCGGTGCATCCTCCGCGGTCACATTTATACCCAGAAAGCGCAAACACGCGCCGCAGCCGGCAAAGAACCAGCCAGCGCCGCAGCCCCGATGCCTGAGCGAGGCCTGCCGCCCGCTGGCCGCTGGTCACAGGGAGGGGGCCCTTCGGGCCAGGTGGAGAGGCCCTTCCCCGAGTCGCCTCCCTGGCTGTGCTGAGCAGACTCCGATGGGCTGCTGATCCCGGGAGCCGCAGGGCCGGGCGCCTGCAGGTGGTGAGGGTGGGGCCGGTGCCAGCGTATCCCTAAGAGCATGGACAGGGAGGCCCCTGTGAGCTGCCAGAGGGAGACAGATAGATGGGTCAGTGGGGGCGCCCCCCCCATCCACCCCATGCTCCCATCCCCTCCCCCCCATGCTCCACCACACACCACAGCCCAATTCATCCCACACGGCTCAATGTCCCGCCCTGTGGCAGGGAATCCCACCCACGCCGGGGGATTTCCATACACCCGGCCCCACGCAGGGCTGGGGCCCCATCTCCACACTTGCGGTACCACCTTCGTCCACTGGGGGGGGGGGGGTATTTCCCAGGCAGCCCCAGAGGGGCGTTGAGCTTCAGAGTTCACTTTTCAGTCCCTAGTGCCTGCTCTGCCCCAGTGCTTCCCCTGCCCTGCCCTGCCCCCCTGCTCTGCCCCAGTGCGTCCCCTCCCCCCAACCCTGCCCGCTGTGCGTCCCCTGCTCCCAACCCTCCCCCTTGCTCCCATAACCATGCGGTATGCCTGGCAGCCACGCTGGTGTCTCTGGATTGTTCTCATTCACAGTAGAACCATCAAATCCCTCCCTGAACCCTGCTAAACTCCCAACTCCACAGAGCCCTTGTGGCAAGGAGTTCCACCAGCTCATAGCAAGGAACAAGGATTATCCCCCCTGTCAAGACTGAATCCGCTGCCTCTCCCATCCTCGAGTGTCATCTGCTGCCTGGATTCATCCCACCCTGCCTTTGCCACCCCACTCCTTAGCTATAGACAGTCAGTTTTATTTGACGCCAGCTAAACCCTTAGACCTCGTGGCAGGGAGTCCCGCAGGCTCTCTGTGGAACTTGTCACAAGACAGACCAAGCGCCTGGGGGTGGGCCAGGACTGGGGCTGTCAGAGCTTAGGAGAAAGGGCTGGGGATGGCAGAATGCCGGGATGGGGGCTAGGAATCAGTAACCCTTCGACATCCTGACTCTCAGCCTGCTCTAAGACTCTCAGCCTGCTCTAATCATTAGCCCCACAGGAGTCCTGGCTCTCAGCCACTCCCTGCTCTAACCCACTAGATGCCACTCCCACCCAGAGCTGGGACAGAACCCAGGAGTTCTGGCTCCAAGATTCCCCCCCAGTCCCCTCCCAGAGTTAAGGGGGCTTTTCCCTGGGGCTCTGGGGATGCTGGTAGCTTTAGACTCCAGGGTACAGAGAATCATAGAATATCAGGGTTGGAAGGGACCTCAAGAGGTCATCTAGTCCAACCCCCTGCTCAAAGCAGGACCAATTCCCAACTAAATCATCCCAGCCAGGGCTTTGTCAAGCCGGGCCTTAAAAACCTCCAAGGAAGGAGACTCCACCACCTCCCTAGGTAACACATTCCAGTGCTTCACCACCCTCCTAGTGAAATAGTGTTTCCTAATATCCAACCTGGACCTCCCCCACTGCAACTTGAGACCATTGCTCCTTGTTCTGTCATCTGCCACCACTGAGAACAGCCGAGCTCCATGGAGTCCCCTGGTTCCCCCCCACACACACACACACATGCATGTGACACATGACAAGCTCACTCCCACCCCCAAATGTATTGGCTAGGAAGGAACCACTGGCATGGGGGGGGGCGTATGGGCGGCAACTGGATCAATGGGGGCACCATCCATCTCCTGACCCCCACCTCGACCGACAGCCCCTCCTACCTGTCCTGGAGTGAATGAGCCAGAGCCCCCCAGTGAGAGAGACGCCGATGACGAAAGCTGAGAATACGATGCCCACCACGGTGGGCAGCTCCAGGCCCTGGGGCAGGGGGGCTGTGGGGAATTGGGAGAGTGAGCCCCACAGTCACCCCCAGGAGCAGATGCAGAGCCAGTGCTGGGGGGGGGGGGAACCCAGGAGTCCAGGCTCCCAGACTCCTCCTCCACCCTGCTCTCACCCAATAGCCCCCCACAAGGAATAGAACCCAGGAATCCTGATTCCCAGCATGACCTCTGTTCCCACTGAAACCAAGGGGAGCTATGTGCTCTCTGCAGCTTGCAAGGCAAGTGGACCACCAGGGTTTTGGGGGGGTGATATCGAGAGGGCATCTCTTACCAGGGTGGGTCTCTCCCTGCTCTGGCCGGGGTGCCTCCTTCAGCACCTTCCCCCTCCTGCCAGCCAGAGGAAAGAGCACCGGAAAGGGATCTGCTGGGAGAGGACAAGGAAGCCAGAAACATTTTGAGAGAACAATGGAGACACCCCCTAATCTCCTCTAGGGGGCGCTCTCCCCTGGCTGTCAGCGCTGATCCCAATGCCCCAGCCCAGTGCTAGGGGGCGCTGTGCACCAGGGAGCAGGGCAGGGGCTCAGTAGGGGGCGCTCTCCCCTGGCTGTCAGTGCTGACCCCGGTTCGCAGCCCAGTGCTAGGGGGCGCTGCACTGCAGGGCGATTGCATCAGGGCTTTGGTGTGTTGCAGTCTCTGTGCCTGCTCCCATAACCAGCCCCCAGCACGTCCCAGGTCTCACCTGTTCCTGGGGTGGGTTTGGTGGCTCTGGTCAGGCTCCCCACTGTTACGATGATGGCTTTGGTGAAGGTGTACTGGAACCGCCCGCTGCTCGGCTCCCCCACGCGGCTGCTGGGACATGCCCCGGCCTGGGGCCCACACTGAAACTGACAAGGCTCAGACAGGCATCTCGTCCCAGTACTGGATGCTCACCCCCCCCCAACCTTTCCAAGCCCAGCCCCTCCCTCCACCCTACTGGTCCCAGCCCTGAGGTCCCACCCCCTTCCTGAGCCCAGCCACGCTGGTTCTAATTGGTATAGATTGGCACTGATTTGTCCTAGAGAAAGTCTGCCCCCCACCAGCTGCTTGCCAAGGGTCACAACTGTGGCCAAGAGTCCTGACTCCAGCCACTGGACCCCAAACTCCCCCCAGCACTGGGGGTGGAAGCCAAGGGGCCTGGCCCTGTAAACACTAGACTCCATTCTCCTCCCAGAGCAGCCCCTGCAGCGTTGAACCCACGGGCAGAGTTGGCCCCCTGGGACACCCTCCCTCCGCCCCCAGCAGGGACCATTGTACTGGCCGGGGGGATTCAGCCCCTGCCCTCCAGGTGCTCCCAGCCAGGGCCGGCTCCAGGCACCAGCTCTCCAAGCATGTGCTTGGGGCGGCACCTGGAGGGGGGCGGCGCTCACCCGGGGAGAGCGGGGCCGCGGCTGGGCTCGCTGCCCTCCCCCGGCGCTCCGGCCGGCCTGGGAGAGCGGGGCCCCGGCCGGGCTCGCCGCCCTCCCCCTGGCACTCCGGTTGGTCGGGGAGAGCAGGGCCGCGGTGGGCTCGCCGCCCTCCCCCGGTGCTCCAGCCGGCTGGGGAGAGCGGGGCCCCGGCCGGGCTCGCCACCCTCCCCCCCGGCACTCCGGCTGGCTGGGGAGAGCGGGGCCGCGGCCGGGCTCGGCGCCCTCCCCTGCCACGCTCCCCGCCGGGGTGGGGGGGGCGGCAGGAGGCTTTTTTGCGGCCCCAGGCAAAAAAGCCAGAGCCAGCCCTGCTCCCAGCATTGCCTGCAGCCCAGGGTAGAAATCCAGCCTGGGGGACAACCCCTGGAGGCAAGGGTAGAACTGGGGCTGGTCCACGCTGCCGCCTGAGCTAAAGGAGACCCCCCCCCCCTTGCTGCAGCAGTAGCTGGGCTTTTATCCTCCCGGTGTCATCCGGCAGCGTGGTACAGACCTTGGGGAGGGCGCCCCCATAGGCTCCAGCCTGGCCCTGGGGCTCCTGGGTGCAGAGGGCCAGGCGGCAGTGCAGGAATTGGATGGAGTCATTGTAGAGGGGCCGGAGCAGGAAGCTGAGGCGCTGCAGCTCCTGGGAGCTGGGGGACAATGCCCGGCCTGCAGCCCCCGTGTGGGGCGGGTGCAGAGAGACGTCGGGGTGGGCCGGGCAGCCCCCCTGCACCAGGATGTAGGGTGAGTCCAGCGAGGAGGAGGAGCTTGGCGAGAGGAAGCAGAGGCGGATGCTGAAGCTAAACCCAGGGTCGAAGGCAGCCAGCGCAGCCTGCACAGAGGGTTGGGGAGAGCTCAGGAGGGGATGGGACGCCTCAGGCCAGCTGGGTCCCACTCCACAAACATGATCTCACCCCCACGCCTGGAACCCAGGAATCCTGGCACCCACCCCCGTTCTAATCCCTGATCCTGCTCCCCTCCCAGAACTGGGGATAGAACCCAGCCCCCTGTGCTCTAAATCATTAGACCCCGCTCCCCACCCAGAGCCGGGGATAGAGCCCAGCCCCCTGCTCTACCACCACCAGTCTCACCTCCTGCCAGGTTAATATTGTAACTTTCTCCACAGCTCCTGCCCCAGAGCCTGGCGCAATCCCCCTGTGGGTGTGGAAGGGGCCTGGGGGAGAGGACCCCACAGCTCCAGCAGGTTAACCAGCCTGGTGGGGGGGGACCTGGCTAGCACAGCCTCTCATAGATCTGCCCTCCCGAAGGTGATGGGGCCCTGGGCAAAGCCCCAGGCCTGCTGGGGTAGAGGGGAGGGGGATCCCAGTGCCATGGGGCTAGATGGCGCCTCCCCCGCAGTTACTTCCACAAAGACGCGGCTGTTGGCCGACACCGTGCAGGGTCCCTGGGCCTTGGCGAAGGCCTCGGAGCTGTAGACCTCCAGGCTGAGCAGGACACGGCCCAGATGGAAGGGCAGATCCGGGATGGGCTCAGCAGAGCGGGACGGCTGGCTCAGGGCTGGGGAGGAGCAGGAGAACTGTGGGAGAGGAGCAGAGGGTGTGGGGGGTATAGGGGACATGGGGACCAGCCCCCAGAACTCCAGTCCCAGAGACTCCCCAGTTATCTCAGTCTTCCCAAACCCTAGGACACCTCCCCAACCAAGGCTCTCCATCTCCCCACGACTGCTGCTCGGTCCCCACTGAACCAGGAGCCCTTGGGAGCCAGGAACCCCCAACCCAGCCCAGGGTGGTTCACAGTGGGCCCACAGTGTGCTCCCCCACTTTGAGCTGCTCCCAATAGTTTGGGAGGGAACCCACCAATCCCAGGTCCTCCCCCACTGAAAGGACCTGAGGGACCCGCCCCACAGCGGCGCCAGAACCGCCCGGCCAAAGACACCTCCCCTCCCCCCTCGCCCACCTCAATGGACTCCGAGCTATCTTCAGCCTGTCCCACCGGGAGCGGGGGACCCCTGGGCACTGCCCCTGGCTTGCTGCCCCAGAGCACCACCTGGGGGGAGGGGAAAGTGGGGGGAGGGGTGGGGAGCAACCGGCACAATCAGAAACATGGGAGCATCAGACGAGACCCCAGCACCCCAGGATGGTGGGGGCAGAGCCCAGAACCAGGACCAATTCTCCCAGCCCCACAGAATTCCAGTTCCCCCAGTCCTCCCATTAACTCCAGCCTTAGAATCATAGAAGATCAGGGTTGGAAGGGACCTCAGGAGGTTCTAGTCCAACCCCCTGCTCAAAGCAGGACCAATCCCCAACTAAATCATTCCAGCCAGGGCTTTATCAAGCCGGGCCTTAAAAACCTCTAAGGAAGGAGATTCCACCACCTCCCTAGGGAACCCATTCCAGTGCTTCACCACCCTCCTAGTGAAATAGTGTTTCCTAATATCCAACCTAGACCTCCCCCACTGCAACTTGAGACCATTACTCCTTGTTCTGTCAAGCCTTCCCAGTCCTCACTTCTCCCACTCCTCCCCAGTTCCAGTTTCCCAGTGTCCAGGGCCGGCTCCAGGCACCAGCCTGGCAAGCAGGTGCTTGGGGTGGCCCCTCCGGAGAGGGGCAGCACGTCCAGCTATTCGGTGGCAATTCAGCGGACGGTCCCTCACTCCCGCTCGGAGCGAAGGACCTCCCGCCGAATTGCCGCCGCAGATCGCAATCGCGGCTTTTTTTTTTTTTTAG